AGGAAACATCCATTGAAACTCAGTGTGCTGCTCTGTGATGCTAGTTCAAGCCAGATACTTGGCATCTCATCTTGGGTGCAAGTTCATCAATGTTTGGGGTCAGGCTCTGAGCTGAGGAGACCCTCAGGATGGAGTGAAGGTGTGTGTGCAATATACCGGCGGGCCAGATCTAATAGTAATTAGAAATTATCCTGCGGGCCGAAATTAAATCCTCCAAGGGCCTGATTTGGCCCCCGGGCCTTGAGTTTGACACATGTGGTGTAAACAAAGCATGGTTGTCAAAACCTTTGCTCTGACCCGCAAACATTACACTTCTCCAAGACAATCATGACAACTAAATAAAGTTTAGCATCTAACCAGAGGGGAAAAGGGCAGAGTTCATTTACATATGTATACAAAAATAGTCAGATATTATGTAGTAAGTTATCAAGAAGAGTGGGTGAGTTAGTATGACAATCATCCTGCTAATTGTTAGGTCAAGGATAGGCAAAGCATTATTTAAAAGAAAATGTTTTATCTATGACAAAGTTTAAGTTAGAGAGAAGCCAGACCTAAGTGGTATTTTTAATGGCTCGGTTTAAAGAGGTCCTATTATGCTTTGTTGGTGTTTTCTCTTTCCTCTAATGTGGAGGGTTTTGTGTATAAAATAAACCCTAATTTACTCAACATATAGAAGTCAGTAAATGCAGTACAAGTATTGCCCTGCATAAAATAAATAAGTGATCTTTTAAACGTTGTGAATGTAAAAAAGTATTGAGCAAAAGCAAATGACTGGACTTCTGACCTACCATAGATACATGAAATACACAGATGAGCTAAGCAGGAATTAGTGTGTTATTTATTCTAGTTTTGCATGGTTAAAATCAGTCATATCGCCTGTCACTATTTCACTTTAAACATGCCTGTGGTTGGGTTTATGTGTCTGTAACATCAAGAACGTATAAAGTCAGCTTAACATCATTTGGGAATAAAATCAACTATGTACAATTGATAATGGACTTATGTGTTTCAACAGCTTTAACAGATCGTCTCCAAAAATGGTCATGACCTGGGACCTTCGGTATCAGTTCACTACATTCACCAGTCGGATAATAACTTACTTGTATTCTTAAGAAAGCAAAATGTCCCTAAATGTGGATTTATTGTATTTCGAATGAAAGATTGCCTCCAAGTTATGAGACCCGGCACTCCCTTCTCACTTTATGAGAAATGCGATTTTAGTCATATTTTAAAAGCCCTGTACTAGCAATGAAAGGCCCTCATTCATATCAAGTATACTAACACTAATATGTGCAGCAGAAAGATGAAAAACTATTAAACACCACTTTTTAGATCTCAAAAAGTCATTAAAGGTAGGGTAGGTAAGTTTGAGAAACCAGCTCGAGTGCGCTAGAATTTGAAAATACACAACCGGAGAAAATCTGCCACTTCCTTATAGAGCCCCTCCTCCAACACACACGAACGCGCACATGACCAATGAGGGCACGAGATAAGTTTGTGCACAGATGGAAGGCTGACAGGCAGGTAGGCCATCCAGTTATTTTAGCAGGGCCGGCTAAAATGATTGGTCGTACTTTTTACAGTATTACGGCTTCCACAGATGAAATTTTTTTATGGAGTTTTTGTCAAAGCACTTAAGATATTCATTGCTATCGGGATGTTAAGAGCGTTCCAAAAAGTGTATCTCGAGTCGGTTTCTCAAACTTACCTACCCCACCTTTAATTGGACATTCAGTTAGTTCAATTCAAAGTAAAAAGGGCTTCAATGTCACTTTATCCCAAAAAACAAAACAAACAAATCAGTGGTCATTGCACTTTTGTTCAGTCTAATCACCCGACACACACACACCCTTCATAAGTCAAATGATGTTTGAGTATACCAATTTAAAAGAACAGCAACCTTCACAGGTGATCCCATTCATCCATATTTGTATTGAGGCCGACACCTAAAACTAGCGTGCTTAACGTTTATCATCATCACAGATGAAACCGAGACGTTTTTCTCTTTAGCAGAAGTAGGGAAAATTAACTCCCTCCAAAGCAGGTATTCTGTTTCACAATGTGCTTTTGTGCACAAGTCCCTCAATTTGAGCAGTCATGCTACTCCAAACAGAGGGCCTCCTCTCCTCCTCGTTCATTTCCTCATAATAATGTCTTTGTCAAATAACGGCTCACCTTGCCAACACGTCCACAAATCTAAACCGCTGACTCGCAGACACTTTCAACACATGAATAAAATCATATAAGGAAAGTAAATATGGAGGGAGAGGGAGGGGTTGCATTCCCCTTGTGGCTCCCTATTGTCACATGTACATCTGCTCCTGGTTAAAGCACAAGGCCCGGGCGACGCCTGTCACTCGTTGGGAAGTCTGCAGCGATTTGGCTCAGGGGGAACACACACACACACACACACACACACACACACACACACACACACACACACACACACACACACACACACACACACACACACACACACACACACACACACACACACACACACACACACACACACACACACACACACACACACACACACACACACACACACACACACACACACACACACACACACACACACACACACACACACACACACACACACACACACACACACACACACACACACACACACACACACACACACACACACACACACACACACACACACACACAACACACACACACACACACACACACACACACACACACACACACACACACACACACACACACACACACACACACACACACACACACACAATCCCTCCTCTCCAAAAGAACTTGTTTGCCACAAAAGCATAAAGCAATGAGTCGTTGTTTGTTCTCTCTCGAGTTAAACTGCGTGGTGAAGCTAAGGTTGCGGTCGTGACAAGTTAATTATGGTTATGATATTCAAAACTAAATCAAATTACTACAATAATTGTGAAAAAGGTCTTAAAGCAATTAACCCACAATAGAAAATGTTACCAACTCTGCTTTCAAAGCAATGGCCTTTGATTAGATTAGATGAATAGATTCGATTGAATTGTATTCTCATTGCAAAGAGTACTTAGTACTGCGACAACTAAATCAAGTTTAGCATCTAACCAGAGGGGAAAGGGCAGACTGCATTTACACATGTATAAAGAAATAGTCAGATGTCGTAGTTATAAAGAAGAGAGTGGGTGAGTCATAGAACAGTTTCTAATACGATTGAAATACAGTGAATACAGAGTAGCTCAGAATGATGTGGTTCATTATGGACCGTAAAGTCAGCTCTATTTCCCCTGATCAAAGAGATGGCAAGCTTTGTTACATTCATCTAAGGATATACATATTGAGGTAATCCAGAAGTAGTTCATTTGTGATATATCTTATATATATCTATACATCTTATACCATTTAAATCCCCATTTCATATTAGAAATGTAAAAAGGAATTAGCTATTATAAACCATTGTGCTACCAAGACTTCATTCATCCAATTCAACCTCCTCTTAGAGAGCAGCACAATGAGATATTCACAATACTGTGCATGTACTGATTATATAATAAATATATGATTAAATACTGTTGAATGTGAATATAGGTTGCTTTATTTAAACTGACAATGGAAAGGTTATGACTTCAGCATGTTCTGAAATGAATATATCAAAGCGAGGACAAACTTGACCGTTTCCATCCAATTGATTGGTGAATGATGAAGAGTCCTGTAAGCGGAATTGGCAGAAGGAAAAAAGGATAAATATATATGCGAGTGTGTGCATTGGGTGGTTAGAGACTTTACTGTTGCTCTCCGAGCTCATTTAAGTCTAACCCTCCAGTCAAAGAAAGGTAACCCGAGCCACTTTGTGCACTTTAGGACGACCTCAGCCGGCGGCTTAGAGCAGCAGACGTCTAGCAGGCGCATGTGTTCGAGCCAGGGATGAGAGACGTATATGTAAGAGAGGAACGACGGCACGGGAACAATAGTGCCTCTGTGCCACGGCACCCCTCTGGATCACATTTCCTCAGAGGTCCAGATCGAAATGAGGCAGGGGCCCTGTCGCTGATCTAGCAAGCGAGCGCAGAAAGCCACACAGAGGGGAGGGTGCCGTATGTCAATAGTGATTAGGATCACGATCACAACTGTGGCGGGTGTGGGGGCGCACAGAGGAGGAAGAAGGGGGGGGGGGGGGGGGGGGGAAGTAGGGGTGAGGGGAAACATTTTGCCCTCCTGAACTTTATTGTCTGGTTGCTGGTAGTGGGGAATGTCTCCTGGACTTGTTTAAAGTTAAGTGCGTGGATCAGAATACATTTAAAAAATAAAATAAACGTCTTTAGAAAGTCTTTGTCAAAGCTTAGCCTTTCATCATCTTGTGACTTGTGGTTAAAGAGTGAAGAAAGCCACGACATTTCACATGTAAATAGTTTCAAAGTGACATGGAGAAGTGTGCTCGTCTTGCCTGTGTTATGCCAGATTCTGGAATCCCAAAGCACTGGTGGAAAAAAATGAAATATTTCCACACTCGAGCGTCATGTTCCCACTCCTTTAGTTCAATTTCTCTGCCAATACTTTTTTGTCAGGCAATCCTAATGAGGATCCTGTTCGTCTAAACATGGCAGTCAAATAGTGAGCGCTCCAATTCAATGCACAGGATATATTTTTCCATTCCTTCGAGTCATAAAGTGATGTATGATGACGTTAAGTTATAAGGTGGTCCCATGAATTTGCAATGAGGTCATAGTTTTCTTTGTGGTTTTATGCGTTTCTACATTCAACAGTTGCTGAGCTGGTGTTAATGTGAAGTTGGTGCTTAATGTCAGGAGGATGTCGATTTGAATATTTTCAATTTGTAACCTTTCATTTTTGTTCAGCATTTCACGCATGACATGTCTGCTATACTACTATATCGGTTACATATACAACTACAGCGCTTTAGAAACTGGAACAACGTTTATACAAAGTAACACTCCTATGACTGTGGACTCAGTGTAACCGTATGAACAATCATTTGTTAAGCATTTTAAAAGACAAACCTTTCAAAGTCAAAGTCAATGGAGGAGAACCGTGATTGCAGGATGGCCCAAACTCCCCAGAAGAAGTTGGATGCCTGGTGGAAGAGGAAGGGAAATGTTCAGTACAATACTTCATCTTGTCTCTAGAGGATTGGCAGTAACAACATGTGACGGACATGCAGTCCTCATGCACTCTTTTGAAGATCCGATTAAATCTTCAAACGCACGCTTCTTCTTGCCCCCTGCAGGCGGGTCACAGTGGGGGCAGAAGTCTTCAGCAGGGCAAACACTCTGAATTGGAGACAACTAATTCAATGACAGACTCATTGATTCCATGCAGCTTGTCCATAATACTCATCTGGGACTGGAATGTGTTTCAAGTGTATGAATCTACATTATGGGAGAAAAAGTCCAGAAGACCCAATTAAACTTTGAGTTTTGAGACCTAAAGAGGTCATAATGTGCTCTTTATTCAATATAATGGCAATACAATGACAGAGTGATGATACTTACGGCAAGAAGAATCATGAATAAATCATAAAATATGTATTTATTTGTTCAAACAAGTGTGCTTGAACTGTAAAATGTTGCACTTTCATTGAACTTTTAACCAGTTCCATAATTTATTTTCTACGTTTTTGTCCTCTTGTTGTAGAGGACAAAATATTATGATCATTCACATTTATATTCTATGCCTCTACTGTGCCTGTTTACTTGCTTTAATGTTCGAAACGTCCTTAGCCTATCATGTACAATGTGTTGGAGCTCGAGCCAATCGAAGTGCGGGTGTTACATAGTGATGTCACTATGATATGGAAGTAAAAAAATGGAGTCCAATGGAGGCGTTTCAGGCAGGGGGGGGAGTGTATTGTATATGTTGTGGTTCTAATTTATGTTATTTTTATTTTATTAAATTGTAAATCTTTTCTTTATTTTGTCAAATCGATTCTTATGTCATAGAATGTGTCCGATATGAATCCTAGTGATGTGTATCAAGTCCACACCTCTGGTATGTGCACACTTGTAAAAACACGTGTTGCTTTTTGTTCTAAATCAAACATCACAGCTGTATTTTATCACCAACTTCTTTTAAGCTTTGCTCCATTTGCTCGAGCTACAGAGCAGAACTGTAAAATCACACTTCAGTGACCTCCAGTTTTCATCTCGTACTGCTCTGCTCCCTCTCTGCTGCACACCGCCCGTCAGAATGACAAACCTCTGTATTGAATGGTTCCCTCTTAATGGCTTTGCTCACTTAGGCTTGCAGACTTCCATGCCTCCATACATTTCTGTTGTTCTCCACCCTTATTGTAAATCTTCATGGTAGGACCACTAATAGCGAGTCCTAATAAGATCCAGACAGCCTCTGTTCTGCGGCACACTGATATAATCACATTTTTATTTGATAATCAAATAAAGGGCGGAATGAAATACTTGAAGAGCAATGTGCGGTTTTCCCTTGGCTCGATTCCCCTCTCTGGCAGATTTTCATCTCTAATCTCTGCCTTGAGTTGGCTTTGGGAGATTGAGCGTGTTTCCATTATGATTAATAACCACTCTCCATTAAGGCCGCATTAGTCTAACACTGAGCAGAGAGCGTCGGTGACAGCGAGCCATTGAGAAAATCGGAGATGAGAGACGTGTGGGCAGAGTGACATCACAGAGCCGCGGGCTGCAGCCTCGGCATCACGGGGGGTTCCCTGCGGAGGAGGCGAGTTGTAAAGACCCCACTGCGTCTTGGCACCGTTTTCCAGGGATTAAGATACGAGGGAAAGCGTCACGGCGCTCAGATTTGGCGACGAGCCAGGCTTTGTCGATGCCACACAGCTTCCTTCAGCACACTGGTTTCCTCTGCATTCAACTGAGACTGAACTATGGTGAGGATTCAATGTAGTTTGATTATTCCAAGCAATTACCAAGGGATGTTAATGCGATACAAAAGGATCAAATACAATCTCATACAATTCCTTCTTTTTTAAAACAACACGAATATTAAAAAGGCATCAGAGTGAACTGATCATTAGCTTTGTATTGGAAATGTTCCAACAACAACATGTGATTTTGCCAGATGTGATAACAAATCGTTTTTTATCTTAGTTTAATTTAACCTGACGGCAAATAAATTGTCCAACATTTTGTTTAAAAACGTTCATCAAGCTACTTCTGATATAATAAGTATTTTGCATTTTTATTTTTGTATAGTATGATCTATAAAATGTCAAAAAACTGTGACATAAATCCCCAAAATCCCAGAGCCTAAGGGCATTACATTACATGTCACTTATTAGACGCTATTATCCAAAGCGACTTACATACTCAATACTGTGGACAATCCCCACAGGAGCAATTTGGGGTGAAGTGTCTTGCCCAGACACTGCAGTGGGGTTTGAACCTGTGACCCCCTGATCCCAACACCAAGGCTCTATCCACTGCGCCACACGCCTCCCTGCATGGACTTAAATGTATTGTTTTACAGTAAAAACATGTATTTTACAAAGATGTTTTGTTTTAGTGAATTGTTTAATCTAGAAAATGTCAGCAAATATTGAACACACAATTTCCCACAGCCTACATCTAGGGCATTTTATCACTGACAAAACTGTCCAAAACCCATAATCATTCAAAACTAAACAATACTTTACAATTAATACAATAGTTCATTATCAAAAATGAATGTACTTACATCTATTTCAGCTTTAAAATTAATCATTTTTATCGGTCATCATAAAGATTTGTATAATCGTTTGGAATTGTTTTAATTATTTGATATCTTTTGTTTTGTGATAAAGGAAAACCAGCAAAGATGATGTGGATATAAGTACTGTCCTACATGTAGTGGGTAAAATGGTGCTATTTGTGGATATTTTTCAACAGAGATATTTCAGCTCCATTCCTTGACATTATGAAAAAGAGACCCTATGATTTCCTCCGTTATCAGGCTCAGTATCTCTCATTTTGACACACGGCTTGTCAAAATGAATCGAGCTGGAAACTTGGCTTGTTAAGCGTCGGTGATCAATTTCTCCCACTTCCCCCCCGAGTCAAGAGTCCTCCTCGGTTTGTCATAGAAAATCTGATTTCAATCAACATGATGTTATCGCCTGTCTCCATTCCAGGCTTTATTTCTTCCCCCCGCTCTCATTTCTCCCTCTCTGGTTTTTGGCCGAGGCACGAGTTATTTTAAAAAAGTAATATGCTTCCTCATCATTTCTGGGCTATTTCAGAAGACATTCACACCACTCCTGAAATTGGTCAGGACAATTCTGCATATTGTGTTGAGCTGTGAAAGCACTTTTAGACAGATAGCCCACTTGAGCCACCAAAGAATGAAAATTGTGGTTATAATAAAAATAATTTTGGCTGCTGTCTTTCATTTTTCCCTGCGGCGGTTTCTAATCAACTCAGACGGAGTCCATCAAACTCTGAGCAGCGGTGGGTCATCTGTGGATCGGTTTCTTTGGGGAGTTGGAAAAGTAAATTGTTAAAATGTGATGGTGAGGTGTTGCCGCCCTGTCATTTCAGAGGTCTGCGCGCATATGGATGCTGTTCAAATGCACACACTAATCTCATAATATTGACATTTGACATTGTCTCCAAGAACTTAAAAAAAGGAAATAGCCGTTGAGAGATTTCCAAAGTGTCGAGGCACTACATATTATATATTTGTATACACATTCAAACATATTTATTTTACTTAAACCAACATATTCCTGCACTTTCACTTTATTTGCATATTGAAGTATGAATGTTTGTATGTTGTCTTCTCCTGAATGTTGTATGTCTCTTGTTTGTTTTTGTTGGCACCTTAAAAAAAGCAGTGGCTCTACTCCTCTCATTGTACCTGTATGATGACAATAAAGGATTCTATTCTATTGTCGGCAGCAGCAGACACTCACCAGGGAGAATTTGCAGACTTGAATGTAGAGCTTCGTGACTTCAGCCTCTGTCACGGTGACCTCACGTCCTGTGCTGTGATTGTAGCTCTGCAGATACGCCGTCAGCCAATCACGCTGCAGCTCTCGGCTCGGGTACCGGCTGTAGTTCACATCGTTCACACCTTCGACACAAAACACACACGTTAGTGGAGCTACTGTGGGGTTACATTTCAACTGTTTTAGATTTGCCAAAGAGATACGTCAACTCTTCTGTCGACACTTATTCTACATACAATATTCGTCCCAATCTGTGTACTAAAACATATATAAAGTAACATTGAAGAAGCAGAGGAGCCTTCAGTTGATTTGTTTTTATCTTAGTGAGCTTAGAATGAAATAAGGAATCCAAATAAAACTATTTTTCATTTTAATTCTCTTTAAAACCACATTTATTCAATAAATCTGTTCCCAATCTTGATTTAAAAATCCTCTTTTAAATTGTGTTGTTTCACAAATATACTGTATGTGGTCTAATGTAAGGACTGTTATTACTGAACTGTACTAGTTTTAGTTTTTCAATGTTGTACTAAAAATAAAAGATATTAATATTCTGATAGTGCTCTAAAATAAAAATAAATGCTAAATTGACATACTTCTTACTTTAATACTACTTGCAAATAGTTTATCAGTATTTATAATCCATTAAAAAAGGTACCTTATCATTTTAAAATGTATACTTTCAGTACATTTTAAAGATACTATTTTCATTAAATGTGGGAAATAAAAACGGAGCATTTTAAACTTCAGGAAAAGCCCTGAATATCTCCTCTACCACTGCATATATATATATATATATATATATATATATATATATATATATATATATATATATATTAAACTGTAGAGAAATCTGTATGAAAAAAGATTACTGCCTCTGTATTAAAAGGAAATGAAAACAGGATTTTATGTTGCCAATAAAAGAAATCTCAAGTACATAAAGCGTTTTGTGACATTTGGCTTATTCCAGCCACAGTTTGGCATTCTGATAATTTAGAGGTTTTGAACCCAGTGTGCGTAACACAGCTATATTCCACATGATTTCACTCACAATCGTTTAACAGTTGGCACGTGTAGACATGAAAGCCGACACGATATGCTTCTTCAAAACTATCTAAAAGTGATGAATTGGTGATTGTTCCACAAATGTTCAAATTAACCCTGTCTGTGACACAGCTGGTACATCAAAGCGGCTTTTTATCACCGCACAGAGAAAACACACTTGAATGCAGCAAATGTAGAAGGACAGTTTCATGGTACATAATGGCAGAAAGATAAAGTGATATCATAGTCAAAGATTCTGCATACCACTTTACTCAATACTCCACATTAGGCGACATTATATGTGCTGACCGCGAGACAGATCTGGAGGTAAATTGGACTTCTTTCCACAGACCTACCAGCAAATTCATTGAAGTGATTGCCAATATCGAAGGCCTGGTAGTTGTAATCGGCGTACTCGTAGTCAATGAATTTCACCATACCTTATGGAGGAGGGAGAGGGGGGAAAAAAAGCAGCAGTTACCACGACAACATGACGAACACATCTCAGGTAAAACCAACGACTCTCCCTCCCTTTTTTTATTCAAAGTACAGAACCTTGTGCGAGTCAAAGGAAAACCGAGTCTCTTTTGACTGAACGTCACCCCGGGCATCCTTGTAAAAAATATGTGAGAGAAATAAAAAATCATAATAAAAGGCTTCTAATAATAAGGGTATTTAATAAGGTGGGAACACATTTTCAGCGGCACAAAGGAGGTACAAATAAAGGGAAGAGGTATGAAGACGATGCTTTATTACGAATTGATGAAAAGAAACCCATTCATGTTCGGATTCTTCAACCACAGAGCTACAATTAAAGACTTTAGCATTTACTCTTATCTGTAATTAGCTCATTTGATGTCATCTGATTAACAGAAATCTCCTTCATGTTCATAACGATAATCTAACACCACCATGTTTCTAGGTGTCAGCTGAGATGCTCACCCTCTTTGTGGTTGTAGATGATGTTTTTTGTGAGAAGGTCGTTGTGGCAGAGGACGGTCGGGGAGTCGATCTGCGAGAGGTGTCTCTTCAAAGACTCCATTTCAGCCGACAACGTCTCAAAGCTGGGCACGGGACTGTAAGAGGTTAAAAAAAAAAAATTACTACAATTTCTTCTGAAATGGAGAAGGCAAGAATGTCTGAGGAAGGATTCATGAAAGAGGGGCGTCTGTGATTCATAGGCATATTCGTGGTTCAACATTCATAGTTATACACTTAGCCAGAGTGGGATGTTTTATACAAAGACTGACAAATACCACCAGTGAGTTTTGGTGAGGCAAAACAGCTGTTTCACACTATACATACTGATTTAGCAAATACACAAAACAGGCACTAACCTCTGAGATAATGCAGCTTTAGTGGTACAACTTTCCAAACATTTATTAACGGGGGTTAAATTCAGAATTCACAAGTCAGAATTCTGAGATTAAAGACAGAATTCTGACTTTTAATTCAGACATGAGAAAATTCCAGCTTTTTTCTAGGAATTCTGAGAAAAAGTAAGAATTCTGACTTTTTTCTCAAAATTCTGACTTTAATCTCAGAACTAAAACAAATACAATTCCCAAATTGCCCTAATCCTAGAGTCAGGGTTCATACACTTTTTCACCAATGATTTTCCATGACCTTTACCTAATTTTCCATGACCAAAAAAATGACTCTTTCTCAGCGGTACCACTGAAAATGGTTTATTTTAACATGGAACAGGAAAATAAGTTCTGCATATGAAACATGTTGTGCCTATCTAAAACAAATCAAATAGTTGGCTTACTACTGTAGCTTCTACATGCTAAAGCAACTAAAATCTCTCACCAGCAAAATACCTCGTCAGTTAAATGCCATTTTACGTTTCATTACTATACGATACAGTATTTATTACCATTATAGTATTACTATTTCGGCGATTAGCTAAAATATAAATTATATTTGATGCAACTTTAGTTACATTTCCATGACTTTTCCAAAAACTTTGGGAAAAATATTGTTTTCCATAACCTTTCCAGGGCCTGGAATTAGCATTTTGAATTTCCATGACTTTTCCAAGTTTTTAATGACCGTAAGAACCCTGTAGAGTTAACAATAAACAAAGAAGCAAAAAGAAAATATCATTGATGGGATACTTAAATAAAATTGACTTGACTCAAGTTTCTCAAATTTGCATTTAGCTTCAGAACTTGAGCATGTCCATGGATTCAGAAGTACTATTGAAGAACTTCTGAAAAGGCTAATTAAAGATGAAAGAAAGAAAAATAGTTAAAGCAACAAAGACGCCTCATTGTTGTACCATAATGTTGCTACTTCTTCATATTGTTATTTTAAAAGTACCCCAGAATGTCTCCTCACACACGGTGACTCACCTGCTTTCAGGAATTGTTCACTCTAAAAGAATTTGAATTGTTTTTGTTCAGCCGAGTGTCAGAGTCCTGTAGTCGAATGGTAGTGCTGTTCAAAGCATTCTCAACCAAACAAAGACCTCTTGTTAAATTCCGAGGATTTCATCAAAAAAAGCCACGGTTCTTAAAATATTGGCCTTCACAAATCGTAATGGGTTGATGGAGTTTTTGGAACATTTGAAAAAGTGTTAGTATTATATAAAGAAAGTTTGTAAAGAGCAGCTCAAAGGAAAACATCGGAACAAAGCCTGTGAATGAAAAATGAAGACCTTTGTGAACCAGTTGTCAGAGCGCACATGATGTCCTTTAAAAGCATTGTTTAATGTTGGTAGAATTTCCCTTGAATGTCAAAACCAAAGATTATACTACAAGAAGTATTCAATAAAATATGGCACTTTGAATGAACTCGAATTTATCGTTTTTATCTTAAATTGATTGAAAACAGACTGAACTCCCGGAACACAGCAAAAAATACAAATAATAATCGAATGATTTCGAATGGTCTAAGTAATAAAAGTAGATTTAAATGGATGTGTTAAATAGAGGCAGAAATATGGAGAAACATTAGGGCTACATGTGAAAAAAAAATGTTGAAGTAAAAATGTAATCTCGAAATCTGAAATTCTTTCTCAGAATTCCGACTTTTTTCTCAGAATTCCAACTTTTTCCTCAGAATTCCGATTTTTTTTTCAGAAATCCGACTTTTTTCTCAGAATTCCCACTTTTTTTCCTTCAGAATTCCCACTTTTTTCTCAGAATTCAATCAAACTTTTTTTTCCCATTTGGCCCTTATCCTCTTCTGTACAAAGAAATATGGACTTTTCTTCCACTATGGACTTTGGGTAAGAGTGTTTGCTGAAAGAGCGCAGACACAGAAGATCAACTTTGTCCCAAACTCCACTTCTTATTTTAGGAGCAACATGTTTGTAAACTGAAGCAGTGGGACGTGCTTCTTTGAGAGGTTACATGTCTTGTTTTCACTGTGTTGATGACTCCATCTATCAGTCTGGGAAACGCACCTGGAAGAGATTCTGCGCCAGCATCCGTCTTCTAATTAATTTTCGAGTTTCTTTTCAGGCGTCAGGCCACGATAAGAGGGTAATTTAAACAGTGTAATTTAAACACTACCTATTTATTCAAGGGGGAACACACAGATGCTCCGGTATTATACACACTTGTAGACATCATTTAGTGAGGCCTGTTAGGAACGCACAATAAAAGCAGAGGAGCAGAGCCGTGTTTACAGACCTGACACCGAGGCTCTTCTGTCTGATACAACTTCTCCTGAACATCCTCAACAAGCAGGAAAGTAATTAAGTACATTCATACTTAAGTACATTTTCAAGGCTTTACTTGAGTATTTCTTGTCTATTTCTACTCCATAACAATTTGGAGGAAAATGTTGTACTTGTTCAGTATTAACAGTATTTACTTTGCAGGTCTATTTTATGAATACAACAATTAAAGGAAGCCCTATTGTGCTTTTTTTGAGTTGTTCTCTTTCCTGTAGTGTGTTATATAGGTTTGTGTGCATGTAAATGGTCTGCAAAGGCAACATTCCCAAAGTTCCCTCCAGAGGGAGTTTCTCTCCGACACACTCCTGCACTGAAACACCTCCATTTGACTCCTTTGTTCACTTCCGTAACATAATGACATCACTTTGTAACCCATGTAACTCATTGTACGTCATAGGCTAAGGGGCGGGACATCTCTTAGCGGTTGACCAATCACAACAGAGCCGGCCAGTTAACCAATCAGAGCAGACTGGGCTCTGGTTTCAGACAGAGGGTGAAAAGACATATTAGATGGATATAGATATTTTGAAGCTAACATTTTTGCCCTTTTACTTAAAGGGGACCTATCATGCAAAATGCACTTTTGTACGTCTTTTATACATGAATATGTGTCCCCGGTGTTCCAGGAAACTCACCAAGTGTCAGAAAACACAACCCTCTCTATTTTCCTCCATACCCAAATCTCTAAAAAAGGGTTTGAACACTGTCCTGACGTCAGGACGGTGGCGCTACGGCTATTGGGCCAACTCCACCAATCAGGAGGAGACAGCCACGGCCATTGCCGTTCGAAAGCGCTGGAGACGCTGTAGTACATATGCCAGGCCTGTAGGTGGTGCTGTTCTCACTGAATCAGCCCTTGCTAAAACAGATCTAAAAAAATGTCAAATTGAGCAAAATGAGGCATGGCTAAAATGCATGATCTGTTTGGAATTTTGAAAAAGAAAAAGTATAAATATGCCTTATATAGGTATGGTCCTACACTATATTATTATAATATAGCATGATAGGTCCACTTTAAGTAACATTTTGAATGCTGGATATTTACTTTTAACAGAGTGTTTCCACACTGTGGTATCATTACTTTTACTTAAATAAATTATAAGTATCTCTACCAAGGTGTTTATTCTATTTCAATCTCAGTCTTCCTTCCTGCTGTAGGAAAGATTAGATTAATGAAACAAGTTGAAATCTAAACAAGCGAAGCAAGAATATATATTTTGTTTTAAAAAAGAAGCTCGAGTTTGGATCTTTTTTTAAATCACATTTCAATAATTATAAACAGAAATAGTGCAAATACTGTAAATCTTAAAAAGCATTTTCACAGCCAGGAATATATCTGTCAGAGTGTTTGATTCACATCTCCTCCCTATGAAATCTTTCTGTGATTCCAAATCGACCCCCTCTGATATGCATAATTTATCTCCCTCCTCTCTAATGTGAATTAAAAACACACAGTTGAATGGTGAATCACCCTGATTCCCTTTCAGCCCGATCCATTGCTTTAAACTTAACAAACTGACTTTACCATAGAAAGCCAGCCATTACTCTGAGTCAAAAGCTAAATGAAAGACTTCCATTGACTTAAAATGGAAACCTGTCGTCTTGCCATCAGATCTTTTCCTCTCCTTTTCACCAGAAACTCTGCGTCAAGTGCGTTCGCCTCCTGCTCCTTGTCAAGTCTCTGTAAGGTAATTAGTGGAATTTCCTCCTCTGGCGCTTCATTATCAATGTGCCTTATTTACATATGATTTCAAACACCAGCCGAGCACTGGCATTTTTTTCCTTTTTACAGTTTTATGCGATTCGTAGGAGTGCAAACGGGAGACGTAGCGGGGGGCCTTTGGTTGCACTCTTTGCTTTTCTCTCCCATCTCTGACTTGTTCTGCGCTCGCTCTCTCTCTGCGAGCCGTGCAGCTGCTGCAGCCTCTTCCTCTTCTTCTCTGTATCGGTCTCTCTCTCTCTGCACAGCGGGGGGTTTGGGAGCTGAAGACCTCCTCTGCAGGTGCAGCCTCTTCCTGCTGCCTCTCCCTCGCCTTTCTTTCACCATTTCCTCTGAAGATCACATTCATACCACTCACTCATTCACACTCAAGTACAAAAGTTTCCTCTGATGCCTGTTTAAAAAAATCACTTTCCCTTTTTTTATTCTTGGTTTTCTCTGTTTCTGCTTCTCTCTGTGTGTGTGTGTATGTGTATGTGTATGTATGTGTATGTGTATGTGTATGTGTATGTGTATGTGTGTGTGTGTGTGTGTGTGTGTGTGTGTGTGTGACATTCAAGAGACTACTGAATCTGCAAACACACACACACATCACGAGTGTTTAAGATTAACCTCGTAAATATCATATTTTGAATCTAAAATCTTCTGACTTTATTTTCCTTTTCCAACACTTTTATAATATAATTTTAATTAGATGATATTTTCCTGATCATTTTGAGCGTTCTGCACGTCTGTGTTCGAGCAGCAGTGGACTGTGTCACACAAATGTCTCACAATATAGCACCATCTATTGGGCCTCTGAATGTGGTGCAGCCTCCTTCTTCACATGAATATTATGGTGAGAATTATCCTGATGTAGCCACACTCTTCACTTTTGGTAGGAGTTTGTATTAAAAATAGCTCTTTGCACTAATTAGAGGAGTTTTCTAATAACTTTTGATACTCAAAAACCGTTCTCTTCTGTTAAAACTGAATCTTAAAAGAAAAAAAACTTGAATTTACATGTTGACGTGGGTTAATAACGTAAAATTATCTTGAGACGTAAGTCAAATACTTCTCAATGCTCCATATAACTCTGTACCGTCCATTGCATCTTTTATAGCGTGTTGAATTGTCCCTTGAATATCAAAATCAGATTAAAGTAGAAGGTATTTTAAGTTTGTTTTAATGCTTAATAGATTTAGCTATGTCACTGAAAGCACTATCAATATTATGGATTTATTTCATTTAACTGAATATTTCTGTCTATAAAAACCAACAAAAACTACTAATGGTGCTAAGTTGTGGAAGTGCATTATAAAATGATGTGTTAAGGTTAGGGGGTTAGGGTTAGGGGTTAGGGGTTAGGGTTAGGGGTTACCACTTTACAATAAGACTACCCGTATAAAGGGTTTACGAATAGTTTGTAATTAATTTATTAATTAGGTTGTGAACACTTTATAAATCCTTAATAAGCTTTTACAAGACATGAGATAAACAGGGCAACTGTGACCGGTTGCTTGCCAAATAGAGAGCCCACATTTATCTGTACTGCTAAGTCTTATATTGGCTACTTAGCTTACTTCGTCTTCTTCATCAGCCAGCATCCTTGGTATCTGTTGTTCACCGAGTTGATTCTCGCTAAGTAGCCAATATAAGGCTTAGTCATCTTGCCAAATAGTGAGCCTGTGTTAGAACTGGTTTATAAATGGTTCTTAATGATTAATAAAGTGTTTACAAACTAATTAATAACCTAATTAAAAACCCTTTATGAATCATTTATAAGGGTAGTCTTATTGTAAAGTGGTACCGGCAGAACATATGTACGTAGAGTGAGAATAGTTGACTGTGTCTTGTCTTCCTGTTGACAAAGTAGTCATGGAGTTAAGTGTTTTTTATCAATCAGAAAGTTTAGTGTTACTCCATTTGTTACATGTGAAAGGGGCGTTAGTTTATTTACATTTGTTGGTTTGTGAAGCACTTTGTTTGTGTTATGTTTAGGAGATGAAAAGTGCTGTATAAATACATTTTGATCTGATATGATTGGATTTTCATATCTTATCTATAAATGCTTAAATGCTTTCATCTTTCTGAATCCAGGAAGCTAAAAAACTCCTTATCATAAAGTCTCCTCCACTGTCCCTACTTTTATGGATTGTTTTACCAAACTACCAAACTCCTTCTGCCAAAATGAAAAGAAACCCAGTTGTTCAGCAGCGGCTCAGAGACTCAGAGTCTTCCAGTTTGAGTTTGCGTGGACTTCCGACCCCTCGGCTGCGTACATAAACAAAGTTGAACGTTTGACCGATAAGAGGAGCTCTGCAGGAAGCTCGTGGCCCGAACGTCTGTTTCTTTGTAGTATCTCGAAGGCCCCTCTCACCTCTGACCTGTGACCCCTGACGGAGATAAAGCAATGTCACTGCCACGCAAGCCCCGCCCCCACCTCGTCTCTCCGACCAATCACGGCTCGCAGCAAAGAACTCCGTCCGCGAGGTGACGGAGGTGAATGTGAAACTCCAGCACCGGCAGTAACTTAAAAAAAGACAATATATGGGTGGACAGCAGCGGCTTTGAGAAATGTGCATATGGCATGTGAGAAAATGATAAGGCATCAGTGGAAGTGCTGCTGCCGAAGAGATAAAGATGTGGAAAATGCTGCTGGTTTCTGTCAGAGGGATGACTGCACAAATCTGCTACCGAGCTATTTCACTACTGAGGTCCTGTATCCTCCCAACTGAGGGTCAATAGGTATTTATTTAACACGTATGTCATTTCCACAAAAGCAGATAATTGACAGCTCTCTTCTCACTAAGACCTGCCAAAATGAAATGATTCAATTCTGGCAAACTTTGATTTGGCTGGTTTAACGTCCACGAGTTGTTGAAATTACCATCTTTGAAATGTTTTCAGTTCGCTCATTTCAATCTTTTTAAACTATTTAAAATATGTCCTTCAAGGATAAGACGCTGATTACAGTAACGTAGCCTGTTTGGTTATTTATGTAAAGAAGTATCTAGCCTTTCCTTCAACTTGTCTGAGGATCTCGACCACCTGCAAAAGACGTTCAAGAATCTCGTTTTCTCTAGAATTAGACATTTTTGTCTGCATTTTCCTTAAAAGTAACCATTATTCCTCACCATCGGATGTTTGTTTTCTTTGGTTTCAAGGCCACTGCGAGAGAAACTTGCGCGCCACAAATTCTCTGGACAATGAGCGGCTCCATTCACACATTGGCTCCTACATCATTATTTAGACTTTGTACTATAGGGACTGGTGAGAATGATTCTGACATGAGTGCTCCCACATATAACATAATGTGTTAAAATGGGCTTAAAATAGTTGTAAAAGTAGCTGAGAATGCTACAAGTATTTTTACTCTGATTTTGTATAGTCTGTATAAAATCTCTCTAAGACCTTATTTCAGGCGCCTCTCCAACAACCGTTAAAACACTTTGAGAAGTCTGGTCTATGATATCTAAAAAGCATTGGGATGATTTTGTCCACACAGCAGTACCTTTTTGTGCCGCGCTGCTCCTCTGAGCTGCTGTTCTGGCTCTGCACCAGCGTGAGAAAGTGGGACATTTTGGTCCAGAGAAGAGGTTCAGCAGGCGCACCACATTTTGGCTGGATGGAGTGGATTCTCCCCATCTCTGCTGCGATCAATCTGCGGAGAGAAAACATTTTCTCCGATGAGCCTTGGCCGACGCTGTTATTGCACAAACAACCATTATCAGAGGAGAAACACAACTCCCTTTTCATTTAGCCTCCTTATCTCCTTCTTCTTCTTCTCAAAAAATGGGCCTTGTTGCATCCGTGACCTTTTGACTACTTGAGTGCTCGTTCTTGAGGATCTCAGTGGTGACATAAAGTTTTCTGGGCTCTCCCCACAGAGGGTATCAGCAGGGGGGGGGGGTGATGGATGCGTATCACGGCCCTGGCTGTCCTACTGTCCTCTGCTGAGAATAATGATGCTGGACTGTTATCATGAGGGTGATGAATGGAACCGGGGGCATGACTAAACAACATTGCCCAACATGAAACATGACTTAAGTTATTTAAAAACACCTGCATTAGCACAATTGAAAGGCTCAACATATATACACACATGACCTTGAACCACCACTGACTGTTTTCTTAGAAAACAAATGGTCAACGTTTCACATTTCTTTCAATAAACCTTTGGAATGTATACAGTCTGACCACGGCATGGACCTGGGAAAAATAGCCATGGGCATGTTCATGGGAATTTCTCTATGATATTGTAGAAACCATTTTGGCTAGCAATGAAACTGTGGTAAAAGATATCTTAACTAAGATATTATGCTTCAACTTTTAGAGTGAAAATTAAAATCAGTAGCCTAGTTTAAATAATAAATTCAACGATTTAGTGCAAATTCATTGCAGTCACAAGTCATTCTGACTGTGACTCAACACATTGTTTTCATATAATTATGCAATAATAACTCATTAATAACAATCCTTTGGCAAATGTGTTGAAGGAATAAAATCTTTACAAATAGTTTCTCTGAACAGAATAAAGTGTCAGTGCATGGTAAAATGTGTAGTGGATTGCTGATAACATATATCTTCGTTTGTTTAATTATTTGTTTATTGCATGCTTTTGATGTTCTTACAGTACTTTTATTCTGGAAAATAAGAACATGTATAGTCAGTATATATATATATCGAATTCTTAAAAAAAAAAAAGTGTATTTCATCAAATAGCACAATCATTATAGCAAGCCATGAAAAAACTGCTAAATGTTAATGCCGTTTTAGAATTTCTTTGAAATGTGAGCATGACTTGTTTAAGATTTAACTCTCAAACAGTGAATTCTGAAGAAATGTTCAAATCTACATCACATTTTGTCTCTTTTAAGGCCAAATTCCTACACAATGATCATCATAGTGTAGTTTAAATCTGGGAGTGAGAGAACTGTGAAAGTGAAATATGAACCAGGCCCTTCCCAAACCCTCTGCACACGCTCTCTGATCAAATCAACCTCACAACAGAACCACATGAGAGTGTGAGAGCTGCTGGCAGAGACCTGTAGATGGAGGGTTGCAGCAGCAGCTCGTCCTCCAGCACGGTTCCTCTCACAAACTCGTAGCAGATGCCGTTCTGGAAGCTGCAGAAAATCTGCGGCCCGCAGCCGTGGGCGTGCAGGACCTGAAACATCTCCAGCTCCCGGTCCCGGTTCACAAAGAGCTCCGTCATCTGGCCGTACAGACGCACCAGAACACAGCCGGGCTCCTGGAGAGGCGCCACGAAGCAGCCCATCAGCTGGTTGGTGATGCCCTCTGTGAACCTCTGGAGAGGAGATCACAAGGGAAATTCCCAATAAAGATGATTAGGGCCAAATGTTAAAAAAAAGTTTGGAGATATGACCAAAAGTTTTTTGTTTTTTTTAGATTGAAGCCAGAATTCTGAGAATAAAGTCATTCGGAAATATTTTTTTCAAAAAGTTTTTTTTCTGCTTTCTTTGTTTTTGTTAAATCAGAATATATTTTTTGGACTTTGATCCAAGAGTCTACAGAATTCTAAAGATAAAAAAAACGTGTAAAGAAAAAAGACGTGGGCCAAATGAAATTTCTTGCGATCCGACCAAAGGTGATGTTCTTTAGTTTTTTTTTAGATGAAGCCAGTTTCCTGAGAGAAAAAAAGTGTTTTTGTTTTCTTTGTTCTTGTTAAATCAGAATATATTTTTTTTGGGGGGGGGGGGCAAATTCTGACTTTGCTCCCAGGGTCTACAGAATTCTGAAGTTAAAAAAAAAGGTGTAAAGAAAAGAAATCTGAAATAAATGAATTTATTTTTCTGAAAATCTCAGAATTCTGACTTGATTTGTTTTTGATGAAGTACAATTTTAACCCAGAAGGGTCCTGCTTTATAAACGAGTGCCCTGGCCTTGCCTTGCAGAGGGACTGCAATAAAGAAACACAACCATGTAATAAAATGAATGTACAACTAGACATACAAACAGAAAAGACGATACAGGTGTTCACAGCTCATGCAACAGCAGGTAGATGACAGATGTAGAGCTGCAGAGAGCTACAGCCTGACCTTGTTGACGCTAAAGATCACACTGTACGTTCTCTCTCTCTGTGTGTGTGTGTGTGTGTGTGTGTGTGTGTGTGTGTGTGTGTGTGTGTGTGTGTGTGTGTGTGTGTGTGTGTGTGTGTGTGTGTGTGTACACAACAATACCACAGTCACCACTGTTTGCCTGCAGAGGCCCAATCGGACGTCTGTTGTCATTCAGTGGTTTCTCAAAGTCTCTCATTCTCTCCACAGTCTCTACGGCTTTCCCTGAGCCTCAGAGAGGAGCCAACAGTTCTTCATTTAGATGGAAAGCGAACAAACATGCCCACCTTGACATCTGATAAAGTATTTATGTGGAGGATGAAGGGACACTTACTTTCCACTGGCTTTGACACTGCTATCAATGTCTCTTCTATTATATCTTTACACAGGCAAGATTTCAGATTTACTCTACTACGATTTCCTTGACATCATTCCTTTATGGTCATTTCAAAACAAAGTGTCATTATTCTTATCTTTGTTGTGGCCTTTCTCTACTCAAAGAAATGTTAGATTACAGTGTACCTGATTTTATACAGGGGTAAAACAAGGCACATATTCAGGATTGCCTCTAAATTTGCCAATCAGTTCTTAAATGTATTTTAATTATTTATCATATTTAAAGCGCTTTCTCTTTCATTTAAAAACATCTCTATGTTAATTTGTATTCCTTTGTTCCTTCAAGCCCTACATTTGATCTGATGTTTTATCAATAGAAAAACTATTAAAATATATATTCTTTTAATTTATTCAATTATTTGGTTATTTAACAGGGAGTGCACTTTTATAAAAATGGACATAAATGCGGAAGAGTTAGCCAAGTGGCAATTTTTCTTCTGTAGTTCTTGGATACTCTTTTGTTTCAGAGTCACAATAAAACGTATTTTAATATTTAAAAATAACACATTTATGAAAACATTTGCAAAATAGAGGCTCCCAATAAAGGTAATTCCAATAAAAACATATTATTGCATAGTAAAAACTTCAAAAAAGGAAGAAAGGAAAGAAAAGGTAGTAAAATATAAATAAATAGAAAATACAAGTTGGTAGTTTGAAATAAAATCTCTGCATATAAATGTAAGGCACAGGTGTCACAGTGGGAACTATCTGTCCTTCCCTTCATATATTCCAAACAGACGAACACAATACATCATTAAAGGGACTTTTGGGACGTGAGGCTGAAGGGAGACATCCAGTCTTTGTGTACACGGCTGGACCTTGTGTAGATTGAGAGGTCACTCACCCAATGTGCTGTCACCTTACAAACATAAACCCTATTTCTCTGAAAGATTGGACCTTGTGTTTGCACATGGGACCAGAATGGGATTGTCCTGTCAGATTCTCCGACAACATTACGCATCTGTTTCCAGGGTTGATAAAATAAAAAACGTCTACTTTTGTTGTGAGGTTACCTTGGCTTTTCTGTTGGTTTCATACAGTTTTTTTATACATATAGAGCAAGATGAGACATTTGAGTTTTGTGTTACATTTTATCACCATGCTCTTAATGTACAGCATCCGTCCGATTCAATTTATAACAATTAAAAACATCAGCTAGTTGTACTTTAAGGCCCTGACACACAAATATCAGTCAATCTCTGCACTTCATACTGAACATTTCTTGGTCATCACATGATTTACCACTTACTCATACAGTATATTTTTATTCGGTTAGCCGTGGCTCTGAGAGGACTTTTAAGTTTGAGCGAATCAGTGCACAAGTAGAAAAACTACATTGATGGAAAAAAGCAAACTACTTAGGTCAAGAGGACATCTTGATCGTTGTATTTTGACAATGACATGACCTGACTTGTATGAAGCTTAGTAAAGGGAGAGAGTGCTTTGGAAATGGTTGGGGAAATGTAGCGTTGTATTAATAAAGGAATCGTAAATATTTCTTAGCAATTCTGATTCCCCTTAATACAGACTACCACAATCTGCTGGTTTGCAATGTGTTCAATTTAGACTTTTTGACCAAGATACAGGCGACAATGATGGTTTGGTTTGCTGTGGCCTTAAAACATGGTCACAATTTAAAAAGCATAACGCTGGCAATATTCAAAAGTCTTGTTAACATCAAAAACTACCATGAATAGATAAAAAACAAACAATGTTAGTCTGTTTCTCAATAATATCTGACCTCTCCAGACTCTGGTTTTCCACTCCTTGCCCAGTGTGTAAATCTATAGATCAAGTTCACTGTCACTACCATTTCATGACCTTGCATGCTTAAAGTGCACCTATCATGCTATTTTTAGGCAATAGCATAGGTCTCAGATATATAAAAATATATAAAAAAACATGTCTATGAAGTGTTTTGCTCAAAATACCAAACAGATCACCCATTCTAGCCATGGATGTATAATAAGAACTGGATACAGCGTGGGAGGCGGGGCCTCGTTCATTCCTATGAGAGTTGCTCATTGGCGCATTCATTTAAAATAGCCCAACTTTTGAGAGAGCGGAACGTCACAGATTACCCTTCATGCTCTCATAGAGCATGCGCAACTTTAACCACGCCCCCCAAAAGGCTCGTTCACATCAAGCCGTCCCGTGGGTTGGATACGCGTTCATAATGCCGAGGAAAATAACGTTATTAGCACATTTTACAACTTGAGGACCAAATGTATTGACCTAATAAGGGCTATACAAATGTTCATACTGGGTAGTTTATTTGATTAAAAAAAAAAGTATCCAACGATTTACAGACCACTCTTTCCCCATGTTAGTCAATGGGAAAAAGTATTTCCGGGCCCAGGGACATCAGGGACTGATACTGAAGTTGCAGTACCGCCGTTTGGACACTACAAATTGTGGGAACAGAGTCCGGAGCACTTTCTGGGGACTTGATTCTAGCCATGCCTCATATCCCTCTATTTCACTTCCTGTTTCAAAAGTGCTGATTTGGGGTATAAAGCTTTAAAAAAAAGATTTGATCAAAAAGAAAAAAGGAGGGGGCTAAGCTCATGCGGGACCCGGCAGCTACTGTCTAAACTAAATACTGTGGTGATGAAACGCCATATCATGGATTATCAAGGATTATTTCTGAAACAGTATGGAGCTCAAAGGCTTTCTCTCTTGCCGGTTATACCACAAGGTGAGTTCCTTTTTATTTCCTGCTTCTTCACACACATGCTCTCCAGTACAGGTTAGCTCTGAGTGTTAGCGATGCTAATGTAAACACCGACCATATTACGTCCAAAACAGTCGGGCATTGTTTCTGATAGCAACGTTTCTGATAGGGCCGTGGGTGTAAAGCCAGCCTACATTTCCGATATTACGTCATATCGGACGCAAATCTGGATCAGCTCCGTTGTACCCCCGTTTTTAGAGATTTGGGTACGGAGGAAAAGAGAGAGGGTTTTATTTTCTGACGCTGCGTGAGTTCCCCGACACACCGGGGACACATATTTATGTATAAAAGACATCAAAAAGTGCATTCTGCATGATAGGTCCCCTTTAACTTAAAAATGTAGATTGTCCATGCTTTTGTTGAAAATGATTTAGTTTTTAAATGAAATGTGTATTGTCAGTATTATCTAACATACAAATGTAGTTTGTATGTTACTCAGTTACATACAAAGGTGATATAACTTGTTTTGGTTGATTATGCTTTTATGCAACAAGACATGATGCTTGAAGAGTCAATTTCAGCACAGCCAATCAAGAGTATTCTGTCCTGTAACAGGTGCGCACCCACACAGTCCTGAAACCCCTCAACATAACGTGGAAACCTTCATTCATTAACTACGCAGTTTCAGTAATAGAAAGTAGAGTTGGGAGGTCTACGAGTTTGTCAAGTTTTTCCTAATCCAATTCACGTAGTTCAAATCTAATAAGGGGTATCTAATGAACAAACACCCAATAACATGAACACTATCCAACTAAAGAGTTCTAACAACTGAGAAGTGTTTTTCTGTACAATACAAGGATTAGCAGTGATCGTGAACAACCAAGTTTCAGTAAATCAACCTATAACAACCAATATGGCAATGCAATCATAAACAGATAATGCTGTTGAGAAAGTGTATCTTTTATACACTTATTGAATCGCAAATACTGAGAGAAAAACATCAACTTGCCTTCATCTGAATGTCCTGTGCATCCCAATTAGGACGGAGTCTGCCGAGGAGATCCAGGATTCCTTTATGAGGCTTATGTTCGTCAATATGAAGGTCAAAATGAAGAAGCTGATTCCTAGCACCATCACTCTTACTGTCCATCTTCAACAAGATGAGCAGATACTAGGCCTTAAGAAACAGTTTGAGGTCCAGAAATCTTCAGGTCCAGAAATCTTCAGAAACAAAACTCTACTCTGTTGGAAGACCATCAAAACATCCTCCGAACGCTGGCCACTTGGATCAAACTTTTGGAGGCCAACCGTGGGTTTAATCTTTAAACAAGAAGAAAATTAATAAAGCAACGTTGAAAAGAGGTAGAAAAGTCAAAATAATCCACAGCAGAGCGTGGTGATTTGCTTCTGTCAGGACATTTGGAGAGCCATTGGCGGTGTTTACAGGTGACTGAAGTTGTCCAGTTGTGTGTCCAGTGACTCAGCAGTCCAGCTTATCAGGGGCCAATGTTCCTCTGGGCATCTCCATCCACACTCGTGCAGAGTTTACATATTAACCACTGCAGGGAACTCTGCAGCAGGCAGGGGTAGTGTTAAAGGTCCCATGTCATGCTTTTCCGGTTATTACCCGTCCCCTTGTGTGTTATGTAGCTTGTTTTGCATGTAAACGGTCTGCAAAGTCACAAACCCTCAAAGTACACAATGTAGCGAGTACAACTCTAACACAGAAAATACCTGTCTATGCTGCCCCCCCTGCTGAAAAAAACAGTTTAGACCAACTTAGCTGCTAAGTTGACCAGCCTGACCAGCCAGTAAATATTAGGCTGGAATGGTTGGCTGGTTTAGAGGGGGTTTGGACACTTTAGCTGGCAAGGATGGCTGGTTTAGCTGGTTTAGCTGGTGCACCAGCTAAACCAGCTAAACCAGCCATCCTGTCCAGCTAAAAAAAACAGCATAGACCAGCATAGCATAGTATGCTGTCTGTTGAAGCCACTTCTTGAAGCAAACTGAAAATAAATGTACAGATATAAATACACTGTAAAAAGAAAACTTGACATTTACGTTAAAGGTATAGGTAATTCACTTCAGAAACACTTTTTGTTATATTCCATGGAATGCTCTTACTGTAACATCCCGATAGCAATTCATAAATTAAATGCTTTGACAATAAATATATACAAATATTTCATCTGTGGAAGCCGTGGCGCTGTAAAAAGCTAGACCAGTTATCTGCCCCGGCCCGCGGCAGATAATTGGATGGCCTACCTGCCTGTCAGCCTCCCATCTCGTGCACAAACTTATCTCGTGCCCTCATTGGTTATGTGCGCGTTCGTGTGCGTTGGAGGAGGGGCTCTGTAAGGAAGTCTGAAGGAAGGGGCAGATTTTTTTCGGCAGCGTACTTTCAAATTCTAGCGCACTCAAGCTGGTTTCTCCATTCTTACCTACCCTACCTTTAACATTTGGGCTGCTGTGGTTGCCAGAACTTGACCGTTAAAGTATGGTAAAATACATTATAAATGACCGTTGGTTGGCATAGACGTTACAGTCAACAATTGCTTATGATGAATTAGAATGGCAAAAACAAATAGAGCAGCTACACGGTGCAGCTGTATTATCTGGGAAATAGAAGAATCGGATCAGGATTCGGTATTGGCAGACAATCAATATCAAATGAATCGGATCATTATTAGCATCAGCATTTGATCACCTTTGTCGACTTGCAGCCTAAATACAAAGATAACTCCACTCCTCTCCTACCACTCTTACCTCTAATAGAGTGGCGAAGTCACGCCCACCTACTTCCGGGTAATGGGACCTTATTTCGGAAAAATAATGTATTGAAGTCAATGGGGAGAGAAAACTCATCTTTCGATCCCGTTTGAATTGTGCCATGAATTACACATATGATGTTTGTCAATCTTAAAAAATAATTTCCATGTCAAAAAAGTCACAGTTTGTCGTAAAACTGTTGAAATATAAGACTATGAAAAATACGTAACTAGAAAGACTACAAATCCCAGAGTCGCGTAAGTGATGTCACAATTGTTTTCCTCCACCATTCAGATACCTAAGATCAGCGCAATATAGATATAATCTATCTATATGGCGCTGGCTAAGATAAGATAACTTTAACAAGATGCCTGTGTGCTTAGTACCAGGTTGTTATTATACCAGCAATGGGTCTTGCTCGTTCTTTTGCTTCCCGTCTGATGAAAGGACCAGGAGTGGCTTGATCAAGTTAGCTACCTAGCTAGTAGCTAGCACGTTAGTTAGCATTACAGCCTTGTCATTTTTATTAGCCTTAACATGAAGTAACATTAAGTAACCCAAAATGTTAAACAGTAAGAGTAGTAGTCATATTTCGTGAACCCTTTGAATAGTACTGTCACCGGTGTGATCATTCTATAATACACCATTTAAGCCCGGGGGAGAAATGCTAACGCTAACGTTAGCATCGGCGATCTTCTCTACTTCATGCTATCTGCACAAATGGTTGACATTAAACATTAAAACGACCAGGCAGTTCAGAGAGAATCAAAGGAAGGCAGGCAGGCAGCTTTGCATGACATTCTTCAGGACGTGTTTCATTGTGGTGATAGTGAGGATAGTCAATCGTTTTGATGACAAGACGGTAGTGACGGCCATCTTGGTGACGTGTGTTGTTGACCAGAGATGTAGTTCATTGAGCGTTTCACACAAACAAATGTGTTACTTCACAGTTTTACGACACATTTTTTTTTTTTGACTTGCAAAATTATCTTTTAAATTGACAAACATCATATGTGTAATTCGTGGCACAATTCAAACGGGATCGAAAGATAATCTTTCTCTCTCCATTGACTTCAATGCATAACTTTTCCGAAATAAGGTCCCATGGAGGTCCACCGGAAGGGGAGGGACTTCGCCACTCTATAAGCCTTGGTAGAACTAGTGTCCGAGTCATGGGGTCCAGAAATGACTGAAGACATGTGGAACAGAGGACAGGCATGGTTCTATGTACAGGAAACTGGAACTTTGAACAGGTGTTTTCATCTTTTCTGCCTGAAGATTCACAACTTCTTGATCAGGTGTTTGATGTGGGCAAACTACTATGCTAAAATGTATAATAATAATTAAAAAAATTACTGAAAAATGCAAAGAAATCAGGGAAAATTGAACAAAAAAACCTTCTCTGTACTCAAAATGACTAGGTAAAAAAAAATTCAAGTGACATGTAATCAATTAACTTTTACATATGGGATGTTAAAACCCTATTTAACAGATATCAGTCAACGCTACCAACCACAAAGACCTGACACTTGTGTCCAAATGGAGCTCAACATATTTTCTCTCCATAAACTGAGCTCTCTTTGCAGTGATTTTCTCTGATACTTGATGCCCCATCTAACATTAAACTGAGCGTGCTGCAAACATCAATGCAGTCTCAAAGGCTGTAAGCAGAATTTACATTACAGTTTACTTTATTGAACCTAAAAGCAAGCATACGCCGAAAATCATGCCAATAAGATGACTTATGCTTCTGTAAATAATTTTCAGATGCATTACACTTGGCTGCACGAGCAAAGACTTAACACGGGTGGAGTCTATTGTCTGAACCGAGTCACTAGAGAAGCCATTTAAATATCATAGATTTAGTTAATTCAAACACGACCTTCCCTGCTAGCTCAATGCCATGGAACATTTCAACATGATCACTGTGTAAACACAAAACGAATTTCATAAACATTGGAGCAGCATGTTTTCAGTCTGTTAAATTATTTAGATGTTGGGCCAATGTTTACCATTTTGCATCATTACAGTAATTGCCTAGAAGTCACGAATGCGGTGATCGTCTTGAACCGAATACTTTGCAAGCTTTTAGACGAAAATGAAATTCACTTGCCATCAAAGAGCGTCTCATCATCAAAGATGTTGTGTATTGAAAGAGAGATGAGTGTCTCGATTAAAAATGTAAGGGTCAGGCAGTAGAAAGGAGAAGTGGAGTCGGTGTTTGTGTGACTGCATGTACCTCTCAAGCACAGCTGAACAAAGGCTGGGAGAAAAAGAGACAACAGACAATAACCCAGGCACGTATTCTGTCATGACACTTATGCAGATTCACCTGCTGTACGTCTGGCTTCCCTTTCTTACCTGTTCCTCTTGATTGTTGGTATGGAGAACAGACATTGACATTCAGGCCTTGAAAATGTATCATTCATGAAAGGATCAACAAAGTAGCAGTTGTGTTGAAGACAGCGTTAAAGACGACCAAAACTGAGTTAATGTTTCTGGAGCTTCACGTGACTTCTTGACATTATCTACACTAAGAGTCTTTTTCACTCAAGTCCTACTAGCATTGGATCCATGAGCTAAGTCTATTCAGAAATGAGGGAATAAAAGAAGTACAGGAGGAGAATAAAAGAGAAGAGAAGAAGATTACATTTCATACAGAATAAAGGTTTTCTAATTCTGATTGAAAGAGCTTTAAGTGAAAGTGCTATAAGATAAATAATCTAATTCAAGTAGATATTTTCTCTTTTTTCTAGACCTTATGGTGGCATTAGAAGAATAGTCAGGGGTCACCAATGACAGCAAAATGAGGTCCAATTTCCATCCGGCTCACCCTCACACTCTTTGGCGTGAACTCTTATTATGTATCTTATCTTATCTCTTATGTACATTGCCTTGAGTTTTTTATGCTGCTGCAACGCAAACATTTCCCAAATTGGGATCAATAAAGTACCTATCTATCTATCTGATTGTAGCTACTGTACACTGACCGCTTCATAAAGCGTTCCTGATCAAAGTTAAAGTTTTCTGATACGGCGTTGTTTGAGGTCGGTCAGGTGAGATGGTTTAAGGCCATGATGTTTTTCAAATAGCAGCAGCATTTAATGAATTATGAGTTCAAATGAAAGAGATCAAAACTGAAATGTGATGAATTGTTTCGGCATTTCAAATTAGAAGTTCTTAAGAAGTTCTCAAGACATCTAGACTCTCGGACAAGAAAAGATCACACTGAGAGTGCACAGTCGTTATAATGATCCAGAAGAAGAATGTGTATATAGTTTTAGTTTAATTTTACCTTTTATCCGTTGTAATTCCTGCCTAAATCTTTGTCATGAGTTGTTCCTACTTTTTATAACATTTAATACTTAAGTTTTTGATGAAGTGTTTTAAAATAGGTTTGCGACATGAAATGGGATACTCAGGACACAAATCATTATTTTATGAGGTTTTATTTAGATACTATATACCTCAAATGCCAATGAAGACTCAATTTGAGGTGCACTCACTGTTCGAAATGGGGGGGAGCCAGGGGGAGGCCGACTTTGAGATAAATAGGGGGAGCCCAAAACAATCGTGCATATTTGTGTCACACAGATTAGAAATGTTGAGTTTCTGTAAATAACAGTTC